AACACAATCTTGATGAGTCACAATTTAATAAAACAAAACAAAACCGCTTATAACAAAAATTAGAAGTGATCCAGAGGCTAGCTACATTATTTTTTTGTCTCTCTCTTTTTTTTTTTTTTTTTTAAAAAACCTGACATACATCTGTATAAACTCTTCAGATGTGAATAAGTTAAATAAGGGCCATCATCCTGGTACCAATGGGGACACACTCTCCTCATGTCTGTGTCCAGAACAGGGTTGGGAAGTGAGCTGGACCACCTGCTTCTTGGCCAAGAGCAAGGCTTTGGCAAAGAGCGCTCACTGAAACTGCGCCCTGGCACACCACCACCTGCACCAGGTTTGGCTCTCTCCACTCCGCAGCGCTCTGCCAGCACTGTGAGACTCTGGAACAAGCCACACGTACCCCCAGTTTCAGGCTACTAGAACGTGTGCAGCACAGCTCTCATCTTATTTCAAATGCTAAGTAGGAAAAATACCATTACCTTTACTGTCACCATTGCCCGTTTGCCAGCAGAGGACACATTCACCCTTCCTTGAAGTTAGGCAGCTCTTCAGGTTGTTGCAAAGAATATGTGGACAAGGATGCTAAGGCACTTTCTGTTACTGCTATGTGCTCAAGTCAGCTTCTTTGAAAGCCTTCCAGAGGATCAAAATAAGGTGCCTCAGACAGACTATACCGAAACATCTCTACAGTCAGTGCTCTTATTCCAGGGGGCCTGCTGGCAGCACTAGAAAGTGAGAAGTTTTTGCTTTGGGGGAAGAAGGCCAGGACTTATCAAAACCTGTGAATTTACTAAAGCCAGAGATCCTTGCAAGTACTAAAGTTAAGAACACAGGTGCTTCTCTCCATTTACCAACATGCTGAGGAAACCATGTGATCACTTACAACTACTAGAAAATGCTTATTTCTGATAATTTTTCACACCACAGGTAAGTATCATAGAATTTCTTCTAACCGAACATCGGAAAAGCTTTGGCAAAAATAATAATTGAAAATATTTTGTAAATGTTAACCCACAGGAGAATGCAATGAGGATAGGAACAAAGGTCTTTATATTACTACAACCACACTATAGATGAAAAGGGACATACCTTGGAGAAATCAGACCCCCCTTAGTCCCTGTGCTAACAGAACCACACCACCTAAGTCACTGTGGCCAACTCCTGCAATATAAGAATACTGTGAATTCAGAGGTTTTCCCAGGTTTTATCACTATTCTCAAAGTGTTAAAAGGTAAAATGTCTTTTTTTTTTTTAAGTTAGGTTCTTCATTTTTGTGGCTGTATGAATGTGCTTGAGAACACTCTTCGAAAAGGCTCAAGAACCAGAAGAGGAGATATTTCAAGCTGCCTTTACTCTAATCCATTCTTAAATAGTTTTCATTCTACTGGTGGAAGAATAGGAGAATTTTTGGACTTAAGGGCTTGTCAGCATTGGATGCGTTAGTGTACCTTCCATACAATTTACACCTCAGCCCCAGAGATGCAAAGATCAGCTCTAAGACATGCAGGGTCCTGTTCGTGAGCACACATGGAGATACATCCTCCCTGCACCTAGTCAGCAGCATCCCATTTAACCTCCTGTCATGGCCCTAGGGCTAACCACCAGCCTCAACTCAAAGAACCTTCCCCTTGCCATTCGTATTTACTAACGTTTCATAATGCATCACGCCACAAGCTTAAGTAGTCTGTTGACTGCTAGACCTTTCTCCCTCATCTTTCTTTTCAAAGCCTTTTGAAACTGCTGCACAGCCTCCACCTCCTTCCGATTTGGAACATGACCATACTTTCCCTTCTAGAAACACAGAATGTTTCTATGTTTCGCTAACTTTTTACATTTGTGTAGCAACTTATTCTTGAAAAATCTTGTCTGGACCCCAAATGACCTCAAGTGACTATCACAGTGGCACTACAATAAAAAAAAAAATACATCTTGCTTCAAACGCCAAGTTGTTTCCTTGTATGCTGACCCAAGATCCTTGTATGTGTTCCCATCTGCACTGTGCTTAGCTGCAAAACTATGAGCCAGTGTGATTCCCTTTCTCTCTGTCCCTCCTCTCCAGTCTTTGCCTTACTTGTCTGAAAGATTGCAAGCAGAGGACAGGGCAGGGTCTGACTTCTCTGGGGCTTACTTAGGTTTTTAAGTTGTATGTTATACAAAGAGGAACAACTGCTAGTCACAACAGGCTTGCAAATCCACTTAGAGTAAGTGGATTACAGTAAGGCTTTTACAACATTGATGACTGCTCTGTTGCAGCACATTTAGGTTATGCTTATTTCTATTACCTTTCCTTTGAATGAAACAGTTGGAGCAGACAGCCAAGGAAAATACAGGTATTATTTCTAATAATCCAATTCCACAGCAAGTTAATACGGGAAATAAGTCATTTTAAAGCTTTCTAAAATTGAATGAGGTTTTTTAACAAGAACTTCACACCGTCAATTCATTAAGTGTCTTAATATACCAAGATCTCAAATTTGGAGGCTTCCCCCCTCATTAGAAACACCAGTCTGTGTCTATAAGCATATCCTGCACATGCGTATGGCCAGTGGATAAGGTATGCCCTTGCAGTGGGGTGACCCCAACCAACAGCCAAACACCCACCCTGACTCCCTCTCACTCCTCTCCTGCAGGCTGGGGGAAAAGGCAGGCAAGAAGACTCATGGATTAAGACAATGACAGTCTGATAGGGAAAGGAAAGTTGCGCATGCAAGCAAAGAAAAACAGGAATTCATTCACTACTTCCCATCAGCAGGCAGATCTTTAGCTACTTCATAGGAAGCAGCACCTCAGCATGCACAACAGTTGCTTGGGAAGACTGCCATAGCCACAAACATCTGCCCTTCCTCTCTTTCACTGAGCTTTTAATGCTGAGCATGACATGAAATGGTACGGGGTATCCCTTTGGTCAGTTGGGGTCAGCTGCCTCGGCTCTGTCCCCTCCCAGCTTCTTGCTCATCCCCAGCCTACTCGCTTGGGAGGGCATGGGGGAGAGAAAGCCTTGAGAGAAAGCAAACACTGTTCAACAACAGCCAAAAAACTGGTGTGTTATCAACGCTGTCTTAGCCCAAAGCCAAAGCACAGCACCATGCAGGCTGCCATGAAGAAAATTATCTCCATCCCAGCCAGACCCAGTACAGTCTCAACCCCTTATTCCATACCATTCACATCATGCTCAGGTCACGCATTATCTAATGCATTTAAGTATCCTCTGTCCCATTCATACATTGTTTAATTTCTATATGCTACTCAAACCTTTTCATTCGGTTTTTCATTCACGAAATTCCTTTTTACCAACACTTACAACTTACACTACATACTTAAACCATCTTTACATCCAATCATCTGGTTTATACATCCTCATTAACCACTATACCTTGTCCCTTGACATATATACAGATATTATCCCCCCATTCCATGCTCCCCCTCCCCCAAACGTCTGTAAGAACAGGCGATGACTTTGGTCCTGTCTGTTAAGGAGATCACTCAGGACAGGAGAAGCAGCATGTTGGATTGTTGAGCACCAGGACTGCCTGGGCTGGATCAGCGCTGCACTCACATGGTTCCTCGCAAGGCTCATTCTCCATTGGTTCAGGTGATTCCTGCTGTAGCTGTATTACTTCCTATATCATACAAGTCAAATCATGGATTATTTTCGCCCAGGGATAAATCTTGTGGAGGTACACACCAGATTTCCACTTCCTTCTGCACTACCCACCAAGTGCACCTGGGTCCTTGAGCAACGACAATCCCACAAATGGGCTTTCCTTTATCCCAAGGGAGAGCAACCCACACTGCCTTTGCCAGCCACTTACCTATATGGACTACAGGGACCTCATCTCCTCCCACAGTATGTAGGGGCTTTGTTTGGGCAGAACCAGGACACCTATTAGATCATCTGGTGTTAACCAGCCAAGTGGCTTCTGCTAAACTTACGCCCCACTGCTTCCATTCCCCAGCGCCCTATGCTCTCAGCATAGTCTTTAACAGTCCATTGTATCATTCAGTCCTTCCAGAGGCCTGTGGGTGATAGTGCACATGATGCACCAAATCAATGCCATGTTTCTTGGCCCAGGAGTATTTGAGGTTGTTTCAGAAACAAACTGCACTGTCTGACTTTATTCTTTCAGGGTTACCACAACACAGAACTTCACTTTCAAGGCTCAGGATGGCATTTCAAGCAATGGCATGGTTTACAGGGTATGTGTCCAGTCACCCAGTAGATGCTTCCACCATGGTAAACACGTAGCACTTGCCTTGGCAGGTTCAGAGCAGTGGTCCAGTATAGCCAACTTGCCAGGCCTCACCATATTGATATCCCAGCCACCTCCCTCCCTCTATTCCAGGGAGACTTCACTCACATGGGTCACTTGATTGCAGTGCATGTTTCGCATGTGTGACAGCCTCAACAGTCAAGGCCACCCCTCAATCACAAGCCCGTTTTTTCATCATATCTCTCCCAGTTACCATCTTTATCTTGAATTCTTCAAGCTTTTTCATCCTATTTTCCCCCCCTGTCCTGTAGAGGCGGGGATTGAGAGCAGCTCAGTGGGCACCTGGCTGCTGGCCAAGGTTAACCCATCACAGTCTTTTTTTTGGCATCCAACATGGGGAGCACAGATTTGAACCTGTAACCTCCTGATCTGCAGACAAATGCTGCTGGCCCAGGTCAATCCACCAGAATCCAAACCTGCTCCCTTTAAGACATTTCTTATAGCTGGAGAAGGCTCTTGCCCAGAGCAAAGATCAGGCTTGCCCTGGATGACCTCCTTGACTGAGTTCTTGAGTATAATTCTCAGTAGAACAAAATTCAAAGCTGCTGAGAAATGCATGTGATTAGCACTTCTACAGGCAAGGACAAGCCAGCTTATCAAGGTGTTGAACATATTCAGTGAAACTTGGTTAAATAAATCATCTTTTAAATCAACCTTTGCCCAATCAAAGTCCAGCCTTACTTATAGGTACAGCCACAGGAGGGATAGCAAAAGAGAATTCCTGTGAAGGCTGCTCCACACAGACACACAGGTAAGAAATTCCTTTTTTGCTAATCCCTTTTCCCTTAGAAAACTCCTTTTTATGACCCCAATAATTTTGCATGTAAAGCTTTCATGGATTAAAAGGAGTAGTATGCAGTGCACTATAACATTCCCTCCGTTTCTAAATACAAAGAAATAATCTTTCCCATAAAAGCCTACTGTTTCTTCAGCTTTGTGTACCACTGGTTTTGCATGTTAACTTCAGGACTTAGCACAGATTCCCAGTGTTTGTCAAGAAAAACTGTTTTGAGTTGTAGTTGTGATCAATACTGTCTGATGTGTTCCAAACAATGTCCAAATAATAGGGCAGTCCATCCCTACATGGAGTTAGTCCCAGTGCAACTACACAGAGACTCAAAAAAGCACACGGCACCTGACCAAAGGGAACAAGTGAATCATGATCTGCAGGCTTCCTATCACCACATGCTGAAATTCCCCATATTCTCCAGCTTTGGTGACATCCCTGCCAAACCCCCACCACACATCCATACTGTTCTATATGCTGCCCAACTAACCTCAACAATGCACTTTCAGCTTCAATAGCAAACAGTGTAGCATGGGTAGCCACAGAGGTGGTTCTGCAGTAGGCTGCTATCATGGAAGGATCTGACTGCCACCTACTTCTGAAAAAAAAAGGGAAAAGAAAAAAAGGCCAGTCCCCACATACATTAGTCACACAGGTGATATGAAGAGAAGAAAAACCATGGAGGTGCAAAGAAATCTTTACAGGCAAACAGATTAATTTTGTTAGTATTTATTAGGCCGTGATTAATGGCTAATCTCTGCAACACAGCCTTGGCCTTTTGACAGACTTCTGTCAGTAGAGAGAGGCAGAAAAAAAAATTTTTCCAGTAAAATACAAATCAAGTTTGCTAATTACCTGGACTTTCCAACTGGAGGAAGTTGTCTTCGTTCGTCTTGTTCCTCTGCCATCATGGATCTTTGGCAGGAGTTCCTAAGACAACTATCTTTGGAGTTGTTCCCTGGTCATAACTATTGCTTACTTTCAGTATGTAGTATTCCTGCTAATTATATACATTGCCCAAATCAGAGTTTCATTACATCATAAAAGCATAGATAAGTTTAGGTTGGAAGGGACTTTTGGAGGTCGTCTGGTCCAATGCCCTGTACAAAACAGGGCCAACTTAGATCGGGTTGCTCAGGGCCCCATCCAGGTAAGTATCTCCCAGGATGGAGATTCCACAGCCCCTCTGGGCACCTGTTCCAGTTCTGACAGCCCCCGAGATGAAAGCTGTCCTTATGGCTAATTGGAATTTCCCTTGCTGCAGCCTGTGTCTGTTGCCTCTCATCCTACCACTGTTAACTTTCAAGTAGAGTCTGGCTCTATGTTCTCTACACAATCCAGTTAGGCAGTTGAAGACATCAGTAAGATCTTCCCTTTACTTTCTGTTCCCAAGACGGAACAAACCCAGCCCTCTGAGCCTCCTTAAACGTTATGTGCTCCAAAACCTAAATCACCTCAGCGGACTACCTCCAATATGTCAGTTACTTGGGGAGCTCAAAACTGGAGACGGTACTCACAACTGCCAAAGAGGGGAACAATCCCTTCCATTGGCCTGCTGGCTACATTCTCATACCACTCAGTATACAGTTGACCTTCTTCACCCCAAAGGTACACCACTGGCTCATGTTCAACTTTGGCACTTGAGTGCTGGCCAGCCAGCAGTCAGCCTGTATTGTTGTGCATGGTCTAGATACATTTTTTTTTTCCCCCCCACTTTTCTTTGTTGAAGTTCATGAGGTTCCTGTCAGCCCATTTCTCCAGCCTCCTGAGGTCCCTCTAAAGATCAACCCTAACCTCCAGCCTATTGACTTCTCCCCCTCAGTTTGGTATCATTTATCAGCTTGTTGAGGATGTATTCTGTCTCACTGTCTGTATCATAAAGATGTCAAACAGTATCAGCCCCAGTACCAACTCTAAAGAACGCCACTGATAACCAGCCAACGGCTGGATTATACACCACTGACCACACCCCTCTGCACCTAATGGCCCAGCCAATTTTCTGCATCACCTAGTAGTCTGCTTCTCCAGTACATATATCGCCAAATTGGCTACGCTGGCTCTACTAGAGACTGTATCAAAGTCATTGCAAAAGTTAAGGTGAACAGCATCCACCACTCTCTGGCCATCACAGAGCCAGTCCATTCATCATGTAAAGTTATCAGGTTCATCAGGTATTATAAAAATCAGTAAACCCATACTGTCTGATCCCAAACATCTTCTTGTCCTTGGCATATGTGCCTTGACACAGCTTCTAGGAAGATTTGCTCCAAAACCTCCAGGGGACAAAGGTCACTGCCTAATAGCAATCCCCAGCATCCAGTATACTCCTTAACCAGCTGGCCTCAAATTCTCTGGGGAAGTAACACAGCACTCTGGAGACACTGACTGGAAATTCTGCTCCGGTTGTCACAAATTCATTGAGAAATCATTTGAATCAAACTATTACAGTTACTTCAGCAGCCTGTCATTTCTAAACCAAATTTATTTCCTTTCTCACACAACATCACATTTTTATATTGATTACACCTCATGTCATTGTTAAAGTCATCAGGGTTGGAGACAAACTTTTAGTCAGGCAGCAAACTGAGGCTTTATGGTCATTTCGGGATTCACGTGAGAACTGCAAGATAAGCGTACTGTCTCAGCTCCTCTGTTTTGTTCCACACAGACCAGGCAGTATTACATTTCCTCTCCTGCAAGTGGCACATTCCCATTGTCAGTAGGTGTATGCCCGAATATTCCACACTTGTGTTAGACCTCATAATACCTGGATTCATATCTTACCCAAGTCTCACATAAAATGATATGTCAAAGTGAAATAGCTCTGTTAGCTCCTCTTCATAACAAAATCAAAGTGTTTAATTAGCATTCAGAGGCAGAGGAAAACATGGACAGCTCCAAAAACTTTGACTCTACCAGTAGCTTCTAAAGGACACAGAAATAAAGCAAGTGCACCATTTTGTAGGAAAACTGAGCCTTAGAGATATCAAACCCAGCTAGAAGAAAAAAAGCTTTGTAAGTGGAGACAAGGATCTTCCTAGTTCCTTTATAGTCCTTGCTTTCCACCCTCCAATGCAAACCCTGCACTCATTAACAATAACACTCCAGTTACAATCTCTCTTCCTGAAACTTGATTTTGTTTAGCTAAAATAACTAAGAACAGGAAAGCCTGGTGAGGACAATGAGGTCCTTCCTTGATCCCACCTGTTCGTCCATCTGCACAGGTTGCCCATAGAAGTTGTAGGGTCTCCATCCTTGAAGATAATCAAAAGGCTAGAGAGCTGGGACTGTTCAGCCTGGAGAAGCAAAAGCTCAGGGGAAACTTAAAATACCCGATAAAAAATATCTGAAGAATATTCAGAAAAAATAGAAAGAACAAAGGAAAAAATAGAAAGGCGTAAAGAAGATGAAGCCAGGCTCTTTTCAGTGGTGCCCAGTGACAGGACAAGAGGCAACTGGCACAAACTGAACCACAGGAAGCTCCATCTGAATGTAAGGACACTTTTTTACTGTGAGAGTGACTGACCACTGACACAGGTTGCCCAGATAGGTAATGGAGTCTCCCTCCTTGGAGATATTCAAAAGCTGTCTGGACTTGGTCCTGGGGAACTGGCTCTAGGTGGCCCTGCTTGAGCTAGGAGGTTGGACCACATGACCTCCAGAGGTCCCTTCCAGCCTTGACCATTCTGCGATTCTGTGAAATCTCATTTTGTCACATAATTTCCCTATAGTGTTCCAGTATTTTTTGTGCTGCTGTTATTTTTCCTCTGTAAGACTTAATTCTGGTACTAAATCCTCACCTCAGTTTTCACTATGTTGTCACAGGCAGACAACTTCTTTCTTCCAGTTCTGCATCTTGCTTAACTTCATTTGAGATAGGGAGACAAGAAAAGCAAGGAGGCAGAGGGAAAAGGGATTGATTTCTTCTCCCTAATCTTGTTAACTAGCTTCAACTTTACACAGCTGGATTTCCTGCGAAACAAAACCCCAAGAATTCTGAAGCAAACTGTCTCAATATGTATTTAGAAGGAACGTATCTAGGTAAGCTTACTGTTTTTACTCACACGTATCTTTTCCATCCTGTCTGGTAGAGATGGCTTCTGTTCTCCAGCCCCGAGAATGTAAAGTGACGAAAAAGCCCCAAAAGACCTACGGATTCTACCTGCGTATCGAGAAAAACACAGCAGGGCATCTCATCCGGAATGTGGAAAAGAACAGTCCAGCTGAAAAGGCTGGCTTGAAGGATGGAGACAGAGTCCTCAGGGTTAATGGTGTGTTTGTAGACAAGGAGGAACATGCACAGGTACATCTCTGTTTTGTCTGGGATCCACACCACTCCCCTGTTACCCAGACCCACTGCCACTATGTGAAGCTTTCGCTTCCAGTTTTTATGGTATCTTCGGCTCGGAAATCCAAGAGCTCAGTCAACTGCTCCAAGTATCTCCCTGCAACATTCATTGCCCACCACAGGCATGAAATGTCTTTGAGGTGCCTCCATAGTGCATAAGCAGAGGGAGGAGACAACAAAAACAGTAGACAGTGCAACCCTTCCTGGGGAGAGCTTTTAGGTCAATCACTCTAGCACCTGCTTGCCATTTCACCTTGTCCGCTACAGGTGGTGGAGATTGTCAAAAACAGCGGGAATTCTGTTGTACTTCTTGTTCTGGATGACGCATCCTATCAAAAGGCAGAAAAGGAGGGAGTGAACTTGGAAGAGCTGGGTCAAAAGGTGTCAACAGGACAGCAGCAGGAGCAGCAGTCCCCACTGCCCATGGCCAATGGAGCGATCACTGCAGTTCCACAACCCTGGCTCTGCTACCTAGTGAAGGAGGAGAATGGCTATGGCTTCTCTCTGAAAACCACAGAAGGTGAGAGCCTGGGGAGAAGAGATAGTGTGTATATATATATACACACACACACATATACATATATGTGGCAGCAGGGACAGAGGCAACCACAGTTAGCACGTGGGGGCCAATGGGGACACACAAACTGCTCTTGCTAACAGAAAGAAAGTGAGAAGCAGCAAGATGATTTCAGATCCATCTCTAGTCCATTTCTGTACAGCATATGCAGTGCATGGTTTTCTGAGGACCACACTTCTTACGGGGTGGAGAAAAGATAAAAAAAGAGATAAAAAGAATAAGCTATTGTCATCTTGTTATTTAAGCCCACACAAATTTGCAGTCCCTGCTCAAATACCAGATGTACACTCAAGGTGCTACATTAAGACCTCTTCTATTCCTCCAAATCACCTCAGCGATCAGCACACAAGGTTCTAGACAGCTGTAATAAACACTTTTCCTGATCTGTAAGTTATTTTGTTTAGAAAGCAAGGGATTTTGAACCTCTTCCACATATGCCTTTCTTCCAAGGCCAGTCAACAGAATAGGGAAGTCTTCTGGAAAGCATCACCTCTAAAGAAGGTATTTTGGAATGCAATATAATTGAAAGACCAAACATGGAAGCCTTCCAAACACAGGAAATTATGAAATGTATAAAACAACAACAAAAGCAGCTGCTCACTTCAAACTGGGGGGGAGGCGGGCAGGAATCAAACCCCTTTCAGCTATCTTAATCAGCCCCTTTGGCACTCTTGGTAGACTCATAAAAGATTGTTTGAGCTGAAGATAGTGAACCAATGCCTTCATCCCCCACAGAAGTGATTTTTCCAGGACAGAATAAGAGATAGAGGTGTGTCTACGTGGAATGTTTGTGGTGCCACTGTAATCTGCATGTAAACAGAGACCAAGAGTCTCTAAAGACATCAGTGCTGAGTTTCCTTAACTATTAAATTCAGGCATATTTCAGTGACTTACCCTGCGTAACGAGTTTTCATTTATTTTAGGACAGAAGGGGTTGTTCATAGTAGAGCTTTCAACACAAGGAGCAGCTGCAAAGGCTGGTGTCCAAAATAACGATCGCCTGATTGAAATCAATGGAGAAAATGTGGAAAATGACACACATGAGGAAGTGGTGGAAAAGGTATATTGTTTGTATACTGATTCACCTTCTGTTCTGGCCCACTTTCACAGCAAGGTAGCAGGGTTACTGAGGAGGGAGGTCTGGCTGATTCGAATGCCTCACAGTAAATCTTGGAAACTACTGTTCGTGTATCATCAACATGGCAGAGTACCCCTCTGCTTTGGCTCTGTTGTCAAGCAGCCTCTTGAACTGACTCTGAATGAATACTGCCATCAAGACAGGCCAAAGAATTTTAAATAACGGAAGTATACTGCTGCCAGGAACCCTATAAATAAATCATGCTCTGTTCCTAGAAGTCCTGGAAATACTCCTAATGGTAAGAAGGCAAGTCATCAAATGTGGTTTTCAGGGCAGGAAGAGGGGGAACTCTCCGATGATACAGTTAGCATGGAACAAGGAAAATTCATTATTTTAGTAGTTCCTTTCTCCTGTTAAGAAGTCCAAAACTAATGAAAATTACTGTGCAAGTAATTTCACTACCTGGCCTCAGCTGCAAAGAACATTGCTAATGAGGCTTCCAGCTTTCCACTATTGGCACCACTAAAACGCAGCTGGAGCTGAAGAGATTTCAGAGCGCCATGTGACAGGCAGTACATGCTCCGGCATTCCAGCATCACAATTCAGTGCACGCTACAAACTATGGAACTGTGCAACGCCTGTGTTTTGTTGAGCTGCTATAACATCAACAGCAGAGTGACACTGATGAGTAAAGAGGACACCCAGTAGACTAGAAAGGAGTAAGAGAAGGATGGACTTAGAGTGGTTTAAACAGACAAAAAAAACCCTGAAACCTCAGAATCAGTAATACAGTGAGATGGAAGAGGACCAAGAGCGATAGAAACTTGACTCTCGTCACTGTAATCTAAAATAGTGGTATAGATGGCATATGTCTATATTGTAAAGTTCCACAGCTAGATAAGCCAAGTACTATCTACTGAGGCTCACTGGATTCTACTGGCACTGTACACCACCCTCATGGGACTCTATAGCTAATTCCCTAGAGTTCAGGAACACAGTATGAAATACAGAAAATTTCCTCATATGTATGCTGGATCTCACATGCCCGAGATCTTGTCATGGTCCAAATTTCTGACCGGGGCGGGGAAAAAAAAAAAAAAATCAACTTACAATAGCATGGCCTACACCTTATGGCTCATTCATCAACAGCACCCACACTATGTATCAGTACACCAGTTACCAAAATATCTACAATTCCCACATGTTGTTGAAGGGGTGACATCTGAGACTGTATATGTATTGCCACAGGTAAAGAAGTCTGAAAATCATGTTATGTTTCTACTTTCAAATGAAGAAACAGACCACTATTACACAAGCCAGAAGATGGTACTGAGCAAAGAGAGTGCCAGCCTAAGATTGCTTCCCCTCAAACCACGACTTATTGAGATCCACAAAGGAAAAAATGGTTACGGCTTTTATCTACGGATAGAACAAAGTACTGGTGGTAAGAATCACGTTAACACACAGACCATGACATTTGCTATACAATTTCTTCCTGTACAAGGTTTGCAGACCTTTCTCTTTGGCTTCTTACTTATCATCTGGGAGAAGTCCTCTACAGACGTGTTGCAAACAGGGCTACATCAGGGAAATGGTCTCAACCTGAAGTGCAGTTCTGACAATTAGCCTTTGCCATGCATTTTAATGTCTTTAAACTTACCAAGCAAACACCTTCACATCAATCTTTTACCCCTTCTGATCTTAGATCATGTAATCAAGGAGGTTGATTCTGGGAGCCCAGCAGCCAAGGCGGGTCTCAAAGACAATGATATCTTAGTAGCTGTCAATGGTGAGCAAGTGGATGGTCTGGATCATGAAAGCGCAGTGGGAAAAATTAAGCAGGCTGAAGCAAAAACCACACTGTTGGTAGTGGATAAGGAGACTGACACCATGTATAAACTGGTAAGAAAATGCAAATTACTGCTAAGAATTGATAATTTATCATTATGAAGAGACATATGCAGCAATGAAACAGTCTGCTCTGACAGACACTTCTTCAGCTTGCAGGAAACGTCTAAGATACACCCATATTTCAGCAACTTCCCTTGCACTTGTACAGCAAGTCACTAAACAGCCAAATTTTTGGCCTGTTCCAGATTTCTATAGGCACTATTGGAACAATTCTAAATTTAAACACACCACAAGAAAGGGCAGAAGTTTAAGACAGCAAATTCAGAGCTACATGGCTGTGTAACCATTTATGAACAAAACGAGTAACAGAATTCCCTTCTTACATAGATCAACACTAGTTTTCCACTCAACCAGAAATTAATAGCAAAGAGTTCTTCATTGCAGCTCAAGTCCCAGTCATTAAAAAGGTTTCAAAGAAAACATGCTGCGCATGAAAGCCTAATACAGATTTCACAGGATAAGTTTTTATGTTAACAAAGTTTTATTTGTCACTTTTTTTAGGGTCAAATTTCCCCCTTTTCATACTACTACAAAGCACAAGACCCAACTCCAGCTAAAATGGAGCAAAGAGTGGAGTTGCACACTGAGCAGAGAGTGAACCACAAGCCAAGAATCTGCAAGATGGTGAAAGGCCCTAGTGGATTTGGCTTCAGTTTAAACATGATCAAGGACAAGCCTGGACTGTTCATCAGTGAGGTACTAATGTAGAATGAGGAACAAGGAAAAGCTCAAGTAGTCTGTTGGACAGCCTCCTCCCTTCCACCCTGCAAATACATTCAAGATAAGCCACAATAGACAAGTCTCTTCTCCAACGTTCTCAGATAAGAGTTGTAATTGTTACAGTCATACTGACATTGTAGGACCAAGATAAAAAATAAGCACCAGAAAACATTCCTGTTAGATGTCTAGATGGAAGGGGAATCCAGCTTTTGCATCATTTTTGCTTTTATTCATGAGGCTGGCATGGTAAAATTACTATTTTAAATAGATTTTTTTGACTGTAAAACATCCTAAATGTAAGAGAGAGACCTTCGCCCTGCTCTACCCCCATTCTCTGAATTCCACAGCTGGCAAAAGTCAAACCTCTACTGTCTCAAATTATGTCTGTGCCTTTAGCTTTCTTGAGAGGAGGGATTCCACTCGTTACTACAGAATCTGTGAGATGTAGTAAAGTTAACTTTGAAGTTACTGGACAGGGACCTGCACGTAATAAGAAAACTGGTTTTCTACCTGTCCATGATTCTACCATGCCACATTTCTCTAACGAAAGTCTATCAAAATCAAGATGCATCTTAAATCTCAAACTGATGGGTTCCATGTTTATTATGTCTAGGCCTATTGCCTCTCCTATTGCCATTTCTGCCCCACAAATCTCCCCGTCCCCATGCTTATTTTGCCATCTTGTAAGGAAAGCAGTAACACAATAGCCTAACTAACCATCAGTTGTTAATGCATCTTTCCATGTTTTATGCTAATATCACAGTCTGAACTTGCCTTTGCAGGTACAAAATCACGGACCAGCTGACACAGCAGGTGTAGAAAATAACGACTTTTTGGTGGAAGTGAACGGAGTGAACGTGATGAACGAATACTACGACAAAGTGGTGGCAAGAATCCAAGATAGTGGTGACAGACTAACACTACTGGTGTGCAGCAAAGATGCTTACAACTACTTCCAGGGCCAGAACATTCCTATCACAGCCTCTATGGCAGATCCAGTCCATGACACTTCTGAACCTCCTGCTTGTACAGAAAACCATCCATCAGAGCGAGACAGGAACTCACCTGAACCAAGGGAAAGGGTAAGTAATACTGCATTAAGTAGATGTTGCGGGATCATCTAGGGGATAGCAAAAGAACTTCTTTCAGCCTGGATTTTTACAAGTCAGTCTATGTTATTAAAAGGGAAGCTGTGGTCTGATTATCATAAACAACTCTTCCTTTCCCCACACGTAATACAGGTGAGTATCTTTAATGCAAGATTAAATCACAGAAAGGATGCACATACAAGAGACTTTATGGAACAAGATAATCCAAATACGGTAATCCTTAATGAAGATGGGAAACAGGCAATACAATCCTGAAAGTGCAGGGAAAAAAGTGCTTAAATACACCAGAAAACATAAATCATTTTTGGGGAAATCAGATTAAATATTTCAAAACAAATAATTTTGTGGAAGGAAAAGCAACTGACAGGTTATGATGACATTTTCCAGGAAATGTGCTAATTTGAAATGATTTTACTCACTTCATGCCATTAGAAAGAACCTGAAGCATGACAGAAGTCAGAAAAGCAGGAAGGTATTTCTTCTTGAAACGGTCATTTTGAACCCTATGTGGTCAGCCTTAAATATTTAAATGCTTCTCTTCTGATCATGCAAAAGAGGCAGACAAGGAAGAATAAGACCAGTACTGTCTCCTATTCATTTTTCATTAGCCTTGTCTGCAAATGTCCAGCTGTAAGTTTTTTCAAGTTTCTTAGACACCAAGCTGCCTTTTGCAGATCTGAAGTTAGCACCACTTCTGTGTGCAAATTCAGTAGGAATGGGATTTAAACAATAGGAAACCTCTATTGAACAAATTTCTCTCTAAACGTACTTAACAAAAAAGCGCTTCACATTTGTTGGCCCATTCTGCCATCCAAACAAGTACATGATTAGTGCAGATGTAAACAGGCGTCTTTCATAACACTGCAGACTATCGAGCATGTTTACAAACCAAAAATAATCTGAACGTATTTGTTACTCCTCTGCAGGCAAGCTCATCCTCCTCTTCACAATCAGCTGCCTCTACAAGAGCAGACAGTGACAAAGATGACACAAAGTTGTAAGAAGACAAACTATGCCAAGAACAAAAAAGAAACCTTCCAAATTCTTTCTTCAATCATTCTTTGCTACTACACCTCCCAGAACTTGACTATTCCCGGGAGTGCCACACCTGTAAAGGACTGCAATCTCTTGCTGAAATGCAGCTGCCTGAAATAAACACTTCGGTGTAACTTGCATTCATTTAACACACTGCAATTGTACTTCATTGGTTTTCTGCCTTGTAAAGCAGACAGTTAGTCACTTCTGTAAAGGCTTAAATAACTAGAAGTATATAATTAAGTATGCTGCAGCAGAAGGCAGAAATGTTTTACAGATTCATAAGCATCTTAGCCTTTTAAGGATAAGCTCTTAATAAAGAGCAACTGATTTCTCCCCATCTCCCAGGAGAGACAGTTCTCCCCCTAATCCAAGTCCATCAACTTAATCTCTGTGGCGACTCTTCTGTGCTATACTTAGAGCAGTACAACTGCTGTGAAATGGCATAAGCCAACGTACTCTGTGCTTTACGCTCCTTTCTCCTCCTAACATTGCAGAAATTTCTTTCAAACATTAAGCTAACTTCATAATTTATCTTTTCTCTCCTGTACATACAGTTGTGGATCGTGGTAGTTAGAATAGCGTACATAATTCAGTCATGCAGGTTTGTCTAACTCCAAGTCAACACCACACTGTCTGGAATGTGACATTAATGGCTCTAATACTGCTGCTGTATACTTCACCTCCTTGCTGTACACTGAAGACAACACAGAAATAAATTGTTTAGAGTGGTTATTCTCCCCTGCCCCCGCCAGGTCTTACTCTTACCACCTATGATTTATGTTCCAGAACAATTTTAAAACAAATAAAGCCTAGGAGAGTGGTGGAAGCTACAACTTTAAGCTACATGAATAAAATTTACTTTTATGCCTTGAATTACATCAAGAAAGGGAAATGGGCTACTGTAGAAAAATACACAGGTTGTGGGGAACAGCAAATTTACAGCATATAAGGTAAACAAATTTGTAACATAAAAGGTAAAGAAGGCATAGCCATGGTCTTTGACTTCACACTGAACTGTAGCAAAGAGGAATTCAAAACCTCAGTTCCATTTATGCAGGGAGAGAAAAAGTTGAGACTCAGCAACAGAAAGCTAATCTCCAGCTTCTAAGGACAGTAGGGGCTAGTGATACACACTAGCATACACTCCATACACAAAATGGAGTGAAATTCTTTCCACTTCACTTCTGCCACGCAGCACATCCTAGCCACTTTCTAGCTCACTTCCAGACAAATCTTTGGGGCTGACAAAAAACAACTGTGATGCTTGCAGCAGATATTATAAAAGCTTATTTAATTCCACAGATTTAAACATTCAGCTCCAGAATTGCCATCCTCTGAATCCCAATTATGAGTTGATTTTCAAAAGAAAAATCACATTTCCTTGGTGCCTCCTATGAAGATGTTCTTCTAACAGTAAGGTCTTACCTCCTACTGCCTACTATGCAAGTTCCGATGCCCCTAGATACTGGCGTACCAAGGAGTGCCCTTATTTCTTGGCAATGAACTATTTCACATTCAATACGTGCATTCCCTTTCCTTCAAGCTGTGGCACTTTAACAAAATGAGCCACAGGGCTTGATGATGACATGCGTGGAAGTTCAAAGAGCCAGTTACACTGCTGGGACACACAGAATAGTCCTGGCTCTCTTCAAGTTTTGCAGTCCACAGGAGTTGCAGCAGTGCAGTTGAAAGGACAGAGTAGTGCGTGACTGCAGTCCTTATTTAGAGGGCCATATGCTTTTCTGGGGCTTGTTTGTGTGCTAAATAGAGAAAGAGGATACTGGACAGTGCACTAACTAGGAATATCACATCAAACCAACGATGATAAAAGTTGAACTGGAGCTCTCCCAGGACTTCTGTAATAATAGTGCGATACTCTAGAGGCATACTCATCCGGATCAGGAGCACTGATGACACAAAGTACATACCCTGTAAATTAAAAAAGAGAAAGTAGTTATTGTTTCACAGTTGGCTATGAGGCTAACATAGGTCAGCATACAAAGATTCTATTGTATGTGCACACACACAAATATGTATGCATGCGTAAGTGTATATAGGCGTGCCCGTGATTCTACATACTCACCATTATCTGTGCTAAAAGCAGAACAATAACGTTGGAGGACTTGCTGCTGGAAATGGCATAGAAGAACTAGGGAAAAAAAAAAGCACTGGAAATAAGCAGTCAGAAGTCTGATGTGCCTTAGGACAGCATGAAAGGTACATACCATTCAATACTTTTTCATTTTAAAAAACAATAAAAAGCATACTTTCTGGAGGGGTGCCTGTACCCTGCTTTCAGAAACCTGCAGTCTTAGTCTTAAACATTAATCTCCCTAAGCCAGTGGCACTATGTGGTAAAAGTCATATAACAATATATATTGAAGTTTAAGCTTAGGTACCAAAAGCCAGGTCAAGACAATGAGTCACATGTCTCTGAGTTAATGCCTTTCCAGTCCTACCAGCAGCTCAAATTAAGCAATCTAAATTCTTTTAATCACCACCTCATCAACCTTACTAATAAGCCCTGGCTACAGCATCATTTTGAACACTTGCTTACATTTAACATCTCATTTAACATCTACATCTCTTCCCCAGAGTATTAACAATAGAGGCTGAGTGCGGAAATATACTGCAGAAGGTATTTTCCCTCCCTTCCTCCCTCTGCAAGTATTTATATTCACATATTTAAAACATAAATGTGTATTGAAAGTTTATACAGTATTTGTCCCATCTAAAGTTAAAGATCTGATAACAGCTTTCCTGGTCCAAAACCACATAAGAGTCCTGGCTCTTACCTTTGTAAGTGTGATTAACAACCCTCTGATAGAGGTAACAATGATTATTCCAACAAGAATAAAGGAAATGTGCTGAGACCAGAATTTCACCTGTATCAACAAGAAGAATACAGTTAAATCTCTAACGCTAACCCCATTTACACCACATTGTATAGCTGCCAATTCTTCAGGGTCTGTGTGTTTCCTAATTGTACAGATATCCATTGTAGACAGGTTTATATAACAGACATTTTCACAAACATATTAGCAATTGTTTACTCCAAACACATGAGAAAATAAGATGTAGCTTACACCAACCACAGAGAACCCCGTATTCACAGGGATGTATTTAAAAAGTGTAAGTGACAGAACACATGTGCACAAGCAAACATAATTACTCTGTAGCTAAATGTATCAATCTAAGTTGACTAACACGTTTCCATTTGCCCAAAACAAACAAGCAAGTCACTGCCTCTCTGGCAAGACCACATTACCATCCCACTACAAAACCAGTGTGAAAGCAAAGTTCATGGCGCATCTTCCCTTCCTCCTCAGTAAGTCAGAAGTCAAAGACACATTCTCAGGGCTCTATCACTCTCTCCCTATCAGCAGTATGATTTTATTTAGATAGGAATTGCTGAAAGCACTAAGAATAAACAAAGTCTCACATCAAACTGGATTCCCAGATAATTTACAGTGATCTCAATTCCTCTTGTGACTGGATCAGTCTTCCCCACACGATCAAATACAATATTGATGGTTGCCTGCAAGAAAGAGATGGATTTACATTCAAATAAGAAAACAAAAGCTTACCCCACTGTTACAGGTGAGACGCATGGCTCTTACTCTGTATCACCAAGGAAAGGAGCAGGGGGCAGACAGATTGTCTAAGAAGGTGCAAAATGCACACATGTAAGAATTGCTTGTCTAATGCTGTATACAAAAAGGCAGATCCAGAGCTTTATTTCAACCAAGGGCCAGTTTCTTTCAGAATTTCCAGAAGCAGGATTTCAAGGAAACTGGAGCCTTACTTGATGAACTGCATGTATAGCATAATCTATGCAGAGTGTGACATTTGCTTATGTCCTCATAAAATGCATTAAAACATTTACATACCATGAAGATTTTCCAGACACAATAGATGGAGAAAAAATAACCCAAAAAATTAAAGTATTTTCCCTGGAAAGTTTTGGAGTACTCTATTCTCTCCTGGAAATATAAAAGGAGGGAGGGGGAACAGAACACAAAAAAACACATATCATTTCCAGTCAACCACAACACAAAATTTTAATGGAGCACCAATAGTAGCAAACACAGCTTTATCCTTCTACACCCCTTAATTAAAATGTTTCTGAACTCAAAAGTTTTAATTCAAAAGTTTCTGAATGGCTTTAGGGACATGGGGCATACTCCAGTACGTATCTGAACTGGAAGAAAACTGCCATCTAGACCCCAAATTAAAGAAACAGATCCTCACTCCACCGCATTACAACATTTCAACATTTACCTGCTGAA